AAGTGCATTTGTTTCTTTCTTTTGCATTTTATTTGAAATTATGGGATAGCACATGTTTTATCTTTCATAAGAGGGTGAATATTTTGCAAAAATTGCTCAGTGTTTCCTTTTTTTGTCAGAGAATGCCAATCATAAACGTGGAAGAACTGACTGACAAGGACAAGGCTTTAATGGAAGTAAATCAACTAAAACTTGAAGTGAAACTTGAAAGGTGGATGGTAAGTTCTGCTGCTGCAGTGGTGAATAGGTTGTGTCCTTGAAATGCCAAAAACAAAAAACAACAACAACTAAAAAAAAATTGCCAACCTGTTTGAATGCAGTTCTGCAAAGTGCAATTAATTCTATCAGCACCAGCACATAAAACTGAACTGACTGTCTTAACACTCTTGTCTGATCACTAGACATCTAAATGTTGTGAGGAAATCAAGGACTACATTCAGGCTGGAGTGGAGGAGGACACCCTGGTCAAAGGGATTTCAGAGGAGAAGAACCCCTTCAAGGAGAAAGGTGGCTGTGTCGTCAGCTAGGCTGGGCCTGATTAGATTTTCATATCTCAAACTGGAACTCGAGGACATTCTCCCTCCCTTCACAGAATTAATTTGCTGACTGAGAAGACTAGAAAGACACAATAAAGAAATAATTTATAATACTTCATGAGATCCCATGTAAACAATTCCCTATCGTCTGGCTAGATTTGTAGCCTTGTAATTTTATTCTTTGAAAGGATGTAATTTACTATAAAAAAGTTGTAGTTGGCAAGAGTTAATGTTTCTCTTTCAAATGGTCTGATCAAAGTGTTGTTTCATGCACAGAAACAACTGCCATTATATTTGCTTGTTTATAACTCAGCTTGGTCCCATCAGTCATAACTCTTTATGAAAACATTATCATTTTGTCATATAGACCATGGTAAATATCAGCTGAAAAGGGACATGTTGTGTTTGCAGGTTTTCTGCTCTTTTTGTAGAGTTGTTTTTATTCCTAATGCAATGTCAGACTGCCATGAGTTATAATTTATTTCTTCATAAAAATCTGTTTGCAGACTCTTGAAACTTGTTTGAGCTATTTTAGCAAAAATTAAGTCTGAAGTGGTTTTTGTCACTGTGTTGTTGCATTAAGTTACGGGCAAGGCAATTTTGTGCTGCTTTAAAAGTGCATTACCTCCGAACAGTGATGAACACATCAATAAAAGGTGATACATGTTACATAGCTCAAACACTTTTTAAACAGATGCCTGGAGTGATCTAAAATTTACATTACCCCATTCCGAATTTTAATTAGGAATGGGATAATTGCCCCATTAAAATTAAAATAAAATAATTTTAAAAAATTAAAATTAGGAATGGGGTAATTACCCCATTCCTAATTTTGATATATTAATATAACAAAATTCAATACAAAATACAAAAACGTCACAATATGTATCCTCTTGACTAGATATTGTGTGGTCTCCATACACCAGCAACCTATCAACAAATCTATCCACATTTTGGTTTAGATAATTAATTTTTGTCTTATTTTAAGTCAATTTAGTTTCTTTTTCTGGAACCCCTTGTTTGAGAAACACTGCTTTACTGTAATAAATGTGAAACCTTAAAATGTGGGAGGCTTTTACGAAAATTACTAGATAACCTATTTTCTATTTGTTTAATGGTGGTATTTGCCCTGATACCGAAACTAAATGTGGAGTCAAACATTACAAAACAATAAAATTTTCCACCGAAGTTAATATTTACCTCGTTTGCCTCCTCGCGCGATACGCATGCGCACACATACTACTGTCAACAATGATGGCGCTGTGTTCAGCTTCTCTACGTTTAAACCTGCTTGTTAATCGTTGCCGTTTTTACAAATTCTCCTCAAATGTCCGGTCGGTGTCTGGAAATGTGCCATCTAAACCGGTAACAGCCAGTGTCTCAGAGACCACAGATGACAATTTAATCTACACACGAGACCACTTTGCATTAAAGGAGTCTCTCAGAAAGGTATGCAGGATTGCTAACGTTGTAGCAAACATTTACGTTAACATGTAAATAAGACTTGATTTCACCTTGTTTAGCTGTTGACAGGTGGTTATTGTATTAGCCATACGTGTTAGCTTGAAAGCAGTAGTGTTATTACGCCTAATAATGTAGCTAACTCTTAAAGAGGTAGCGTTGGGGCAGTAAGGCGAGAGGTCACTGTGCTAGCTCGTTATATAACTACACTTGAACTGTTGTTTGCAGTCACTGCTCTGTATTCTGTATAAATAAGGCACCCACGTCACCCACCCATGATGAACATTTGGAAGAGGGTATAATGCATACATGCTCCACTGACTGTAAAAGCCTGCTTATCCCCCTGCTCCTCTGTGTTATGACAGATACTCAGCAGCTACACTGGTTTAGCTACAATGCTTCTGGCTTTCATGTCCCACATGTCACTTGCCTGATGTCAGCCCCGCTATTGTCAACAACATGCACAGCATTTTTGCTCTTGCATTGGGCTTAACGTTAACCTAAATTTATGGTTGTCGGTCCATATTTTTAGCTTCTGGTGTACAGCATACAACAAAGTACAGCCCTGGTCAGTATCACTAAAGTGTTAAATAATTTGCCAGGTAGTTTTCACGTTTTTCTTCTGTAAAAGCTGTTCTGTTCTCTGTGCAGTGTGTTTGGGATCATTGCCATGCTAGAAAAGTCCTCTCCTGCCAAAGTGGCAAAATGGGAGTCGTCTTTAAATTTGTTATTTGGGTATACAAACTTGCATTCATAGTGCTAACCATACATTTAATCTCTGGTATAAACACTTTTGCTGCACTGAGGTTGTATTTTCTAGGCCCATATAATCAATGTAGTCTTTCTGACCTGTTTGTTTTTCACTATACCTAAGATCAAATCCCCTACACTTCAATTTAAAAATAGTACCCTTATGGTAAGTTGATATAGTTTTAATCATTCAGCATTTTAGTTGTATTGCACAGGGGTTACCTTTGTTGTATACTGTATCATTGTGCGACTGACACAGGTCTGGATTCATACAACATGCTTTTTTTTCTTGAAAAATAAACATTCAGAAGCTGTGGCTGGGCAATTTGAAATTGTACACACTCTTGACAAAACCCTGACATACTGTGAACACAATGAAAGGAAGTGACCTATTTAACAGTTTTTGGGCAATGTATGATGTTATAAATAGATGTATATGCTTTGTTGTTAGCACAGAAATAATGTATCTCAAGGGACTCATGTTAGCCAAACTTGTCTTGCTCCAGGGGTCAGTGTGTAGAGACACTGTAGACTTTTGCACTCTTAGAATTACTGTCAACTTCATATTAAAACATTTAAAGGTCAAAGGATGTGATTCATGTGTGGGAACGGTTCCAGATGAAAGAGGGTTTGCTAATTGTTGGCTATTTGCAAGACTATTGGAACTACATAAACAGTGCTTGGCCCATTTAAATGAAACTGCCCATCAAGCCAGTTGGGCCAACTGATGGCATTTAGCTTAACCAGATACACTTTTTTGTTTGCATCAAACACACACTGGGTCTGAATCATATGTTAATTCAGATTCTGACTTATCAGTTGAGAGCAGATTCTTCTCCTGGCCAGGTTGGCAGATTCAGAAGCATTGAGCAGGGAAACGGACTGAATGAGCTGTGTAATTTGGGAGCAATGGAAAGTGAGTCCCATTTTCTTTTGCACTGTACTGTACATACTATAATGATTTTAGAATGAGTTTTTCTAATAATAAACCCTGGAACGATGAGCAAAAATTATAATAGCTGTTTAATTTGATTGGTTTAAAGCTGCTTTAATTAATAATTCTGAACTTAAAAATTATGACCATTAAAGCTACAGTATTTAACTTTTTTTACATATTTTTGTCTTAATGTGGAGAGGGGCTGTTGAAGTCTGCTGTGACCCAGACCTATTGGACAGCACTGGTAGCAGTGCAGAGATATTAGCTTCTAAAAGGTTTTGACCTCTCTAACAAATCAGAGACTTTCAGTTCTTTCTGCTTGATCAGTAAGTTCTGTTGCATTCTCATTTACTGTCATTTCATATAAATCAATGTCTGCAGAGCGTGATGGAGTGTAGCAGATTGTAGTAGTGGAGCAGGGAGAGGGAGCGCTGAGCGGAGCAGAGAGGATTGATTTGGAGTTTCATGCTAATGCTACTTTAAGATACATACTGTAGCTTTAAAGTTTGCTAACTTAGTCTTGAAAGCCTCAAAAAGATGGCAAGGTTCAAGTTTTTTTTATTTGATTTCCCTAGAATAATATAGTAATTATTGAGCTTAAGCAGCTGCTCTTTGCTTGAGCAAGGGTCAGTTTCACACCCAGTTAAGTGAGATTTACAGACATTATTAGCAGGGATAAGATGACTCAAATGTCGTTGGACCACTTGTGCTTTATTCAACAATGTAAGTTTTACCACAGAAATATATTTCATTGTTCTCAATTCAGGGGCAGCACAGTGATGCAGTGATTAGCTCTGGTACTAAACAATAATAAAAGCAAGTATTAGTAATCAGACTGAGTCATTTTGGATATATATTACTAGACAGACATTGGCAACAGAGGCTGCAAAGAAGAATACACAAGTCTAATTTAAGGCAGGGAGCAAAGATGTTGTGGTAAATGCAGGGAATCCTGTTGTGTGACTAAACCCTCAAAGGATGCCAGGAGATCGAAAATATAGCAGCACTGGGAATATTAGGAAGGATGAAAATGTGAAAAGGAAATGCAGAACAATATGTTGGCAGCGCAGGAAAGGGAACCTGAGGCATCATGGTTTATTAAAACAATTCACTGCAGGGTTGTGTGTGTTAATGGTATACTAATATATAGGGTTATAGGAAATCCTTTCAAATATTCACAGTTTCCGCTATAAATTTCCCATTAGTGGGTAGAGAGGGTGTAGAACTGTGTTGGGCTGTTGTTGCATGAGTGTGTGTGTGTGTTACATGGAGCGGTGTATTCTTGTGCTCATTTACTGTACAGGCTGAATAAAATAACTTCCAGGCTGAGAAACCACTCAGACTTTCAGAGGCTCCAACAATACAGTCATGGCTAAAAATACTGGCACCCCTGCATTTCTGTCAGATAATGCACCACCTCTTCCAGAAAACTGTTTCAGTCACAAATTTTTTGATATTCTCATGTTCATTTCTTTTGTTTGTATTGTAACTACACAAATAGCTGAGGAAAAAAAAGCCGGATGTGATACAATGAGCTGGAGACTTCTGAAGTTACCAGCAATGAGACCAGATCTAACTCCCATAAAGCACCTGGGGAGAAATCTCAGAGCAGCAGCCGGGAGAAGGAGCCCTTCAAATCTGAGAGATCTGGAGCAGTTGGCAAAAGAAGAGTGGTCCAAAACTCCAGCAGAGAGGTGGAAGAAACTCACTGATGGTTACAGGAAGTCATTGATTTCATTTATTTTGTCCAAAGGGTGTGCTACCAAATGTTAAGCTGAGGGTGTCAATAATTCTGTCCAGTCTATTTTTGGAGTTCTCTGTGGAATGGATCAGATTTGGCTTTTTTCTTCTCTCTGCGTTTTTGTGTTGTTCCAGTGGAAACAAAATAAATAAACATAATACCAAAGAATTTGTGATTGCAATGCTTTTCTGGGAGAAGCGATGCGTTATCTGACAGAAATGCAGGGGTGCCATTATTTTTGGCAGTGACTGCAAACAAACACCCATACCAACTAAAACTGGTGTACGTGGAAGGTCTGCTGCTGTCATTAAGGAAGATGAGGAAAAGAAATTTCCCTAGAATTTCTAGGAAGAGGCTATTCATAGTATGTGACCCTTCCTCCCTCTCTCAGTTTCATACTGGGTTTTCCCACTACACAGCAAATCATCACAGGAAGATGTGTTACACACTTAACACTGAGGGCCACTGTGCTGTCGTTCTTACTGCCTCTGTAATATGTTACCAGTAAAAAAAAAAGTAACATCAGCATCAGAAAAGATTTCATTATCATCAGATGATTCTTCACAATTATTTGGCTCTTCGTGTTTATAACTATGCAAGATGCAGTTTTTGTTACAGTAGATGTTTGAACTTTGTACTGTTTTGCTGACATTTAATGATGATACCCGTTGTACACTTTGGTATTCAGTGTTTCAACTGTATTGTATAACTTAACAGTGTAGGTTTGAGTCCTGCTTAAAATACAGTAATTTGCCATTCTTTGCCTGGTGTTGCTCCAGCAATGGCACTGTGAGCATGTTAGCATTAGACTCAAAGAAGTGCTATGATACGCTTCACATGGAGCCCCTGGCATCACTATGGACTTTTGATCTTGTTCATTTATTCAATCGACTGTAAAAACAATGGACAGGCTAAGAGCTAACAGAAGTGAAGCCACAGTGACGTGCTCTCCCTCCGGTGGCTGGTTGCAGTATACAGTATTGTTCAAAATAATAGCAGTACAATGTGACCAACCAGAATAATCCAGGTTTTTAGTATATTTTTTATTGCTACATGGCAAACAAGTTACCAGTAGGTGCAGTAGATTCTCAGAAAGCAAACAAGACCCAGCATTCATGATATGCACGCTCTTAAGGCTGTGCAATTGGGCAATTAGTTGAAAGGGGTGTGTTCAAAAAAATAGCAGTGTCTGCCGTTGACTGTACAAACACAAAACTATGTTGTACAAACGTTTTTGTTTCTAGGATTTAGCAATCCTGTGAATCACTAAACTAATATTTAGTTGTATGACCACAGTTTGTTATAACTGCTTCACATCTGTGTGGCATGGAGTCAACCAACTTGTGGCACCTTTCAGCTGTTATTACACTCCATGATTCTTTAACAACATTCCACAATTCATTTACATTTCTTGGTTTTGCTTCAGAAACAGCATTTTTGATATCACCCCACAAGTTCTCGATTGGATTAAGGTCCGGGGATTGGGCTGGCCACTCCATAACATTAATTTTGTTGGTTTGGAACCAAGACTTTGCTCGTTTACTAGTGTGTTTGGGGTCATTGTCTTGTTGAAACAACCATTTCAAGGGCATGTCCTCTTCAGCATAAGGCAACATGACCTCTTCAAGTATTTTGACATATGCAAACTGATCCATGATCCCTGGTATGCGATAAATAGGCCCAACACCATAGTAGGAGAAACATGCCCATATCATGATGCTTGCACCACCATGCTTCACTGTCTTCACTGTGTACTGTGGCTTGAATTCAGAGTTTGGGGGTCATCTCACAAACTGTCTGTGGCCCTTGGACCCAAAAAGAACAATTTTACTCTCATCAGTCCACAAAATGTTCCTCCATTTCTCTTTAGGCCAGTTGATGTGTTCTTTGGCAAATTGTAACCTCTTCTGCACGTGCCTTTTTTTTAACAGAGGGACTTTGCGGGGGATTCTTGAAAATAGATTAGCTTCACACAGACGTCTTCTAACTGTCACAGTACTTACAGGTAACTCCAGACTGTCTTTGATCATCCTGGAGCTGATCATTGGCTGGGCCTTTGCCATTCTGGTTATTCTTCGATCCATTTTGATGGTTGTCTTCCGTTTTCTTCCACGTCTCTCTGGTTTTGCTCTCCATTTTAAGGCATTGGAGATCATTTTAGCTGAACAGCCTATAATTTTTTGCACCTCTTTATAGGTTTTCCCCTCTCCAATCAACTTTTTAATCAAAGTACGCTGTTCTTCTGAACAATGTCTTGAACGACCCATTTTCCTCAGGCTTTCAAATGCATGTTCAACAAGTGCTGGCTTCATCCTTAAATAGGGGCCACCTGATTCACACCTGTTATTTCACAAAATTGATGACCTCACTGATTGAATGCCACACTGCTATTTTTTTAACACACCCCTTTCAACTAATTGCCCAATTGCACAGCCTTAAGAGCGTGCATATCATGAATGCTGGGTCTTGTTTGCTTTCTGAGAATCTACTGCACCTACTGGTAACTTGTTTGCCATGTAGCAATAAAAAATATACTAAAAACCTGGATTATTCTGGTTAGTCACATTGTACTGCTATTATTGTGAGCAATACTGTAGGTTGTGCTGCTTGTTGTGTGAACCCTTCTGTGGTTTTTTGCTAGATATCACATTGATGTGTGTACAAGTGGTCATTTTTCTGGTTGATCTGACAGCTTGATTGGTGATCCAATGCTGTCACTCCACTCCTGGTTACTACTGCGCAGTATCTGGTTGCAAAGAAGCAAGATGGCAGCCGCCATATTTACAGTATTTTGGATTCATTTTCGCATAGTTGAGGGAAGTGGGCACACCATGGCCATTGCATATTTATATCAATGATTTATTCAAATATTGCAATGTAATAATCCACGATAAACTGTGTGAAGACATGTAGGATTAATCTAGGATAAAGGGGGGGGCAGTGTTTTTGTTGGATTTTATGTGAGGTAGCTGATTTTCACACATTCAGGCTGACATGTGCATCATACCTCTGTTGAAAGTAATATCTGTTTTTTGTTCTGGGCAGTAAAAAGTTGATGACCATGTTTTCTGTCTACCTTGTATGCATGTATGTTTGTCTTGGCCGTTTCAGTGGTTGGCTGATTTGGGTTTGTGTGTTTTGGAATGGCAAAAATCAGTGTGCATCCCTTTTTGAAATCCTGGAAAAAACCTGTGAATTTTTCTTTAGTACTTTGTTTTCTTATGTTGAATAGGAAAACATGCTTTTCTAGTTCACTGCTGGTTTTGCTTTCATTTTTAAGCAGAGATATATCAAAGCTACATGAAAGAAAAATAATCAAATAAGGTTTGTATTTCACAATCCACATTACTGCACATGGATCATTTAACTCCATTCATTGGCTTGGGCTTCAATTTGATAACTCCTTTTTCCTCAAAATTCATTTTTTATTTAAATCCTTACATTTTATTGGCTTTTCCCACCATTGAGAGCGTATAGTACTGAGAAGAGAAACACATCTATGGAGCAGATATTCATTTGTCTGTGCAAACTGTGGCCCATTAAAATGTTTGTGTTAAAGTGAATATCACAAAGGGCAAATAAGTTCTTTATTTTATATTAGCTAATAGGTAATTCAGAGGAACAGCTGTAAAATAAACCACAACTCACACAGCAAGGCTGTCAATCATAGACGTTGAAGAGGAGAACAAAGACAAGGATTTAATTGCTTTTTTCAACAGTAAAATCATGTTTTTCCTCTCAGATTGTTTAATCATTTTCCTATGACTGAAATATCTTTCTTCACTGTGAATTCTCACAAAGGCATGGAGGAGGATTCTTTTTGTATGAAGTTTTTTCTCAGTACTACCATTACATTGCACCTGAAACACAAGTTTTCTCTTTCTTTGTTAACATTATAATTCAAACTTTTGCAATTCAATCACATCTGGTATTTCAGTGTTTTAATTTAGCAGTACTGTTGTCACTCTGTAATCCATGCAGGAAGAGAACAACGTCTCTTTTTTTTCAAGATTACTCAGTGGCAGCATGTCAGAGTAAATATGTGGCTACTAACGTTTTCGAGGGCTGCAGTACTCCACACAAGAGGTGGGGTCTTTGAAGCGATTGGGGTTCCCTTGGCAGCCACCATAATAAAATGGCTCACACTGCATTGTGGCCATGTTGAAGAAGTAGCTGGGAAAGCGAGCACGACATGGTCCCACATCTCTAGGGTACCGGCAGATCTGGGGAATCTCTGGGGAGAAGGACAGCATTTGAGGGTGAGATTAACAGTGGTGGAAGAAGAACTCAGATTGTTTACTTAAGTAAAAGTATCAATGCCACAGTGTAAAAATACTCTGTTATAAGTAAGTCATGCATTCAAAATGTTAATTATATAAAAGTATTACCATCAAAATGTACCAAAAAAAGTACCAAAAGTAAAAGTACTCAATATGCAGAATGGCACAGTTCACATTAATGTACAGTATATTCTATTATTGGATTATAATAATGAATGCTTTATTGTACAAGTAAGGTTTTCTCAAATAAAAATAGAGTACAACCACACCCACTACACTTATACAGTAGCTCTCAGAGGGGGCCAAGGCCCCCTTCTTGTAAATAACGCTCATCACACTGGGAACTTACTTGGGAATCTGAAACAACTCTTCTGACACTCCTGATAACTGTTGAAATTGTTGGCATTCCCTTTGCAGCCTCCATAGTAAAAAATCTCGCACTTTTGGGTGAAAGTGTTGTAGTAATAGCGCTCAATTGCTGCTCTGCAAGGTCCATCGTCCACTTGAAGGAGACACGCAGCTGAAAACAGCAAGAACATTGTTGAAGAGCATACTGGCATTAAGCTTTACGCGCTGCTGTGCATGAAGTAGCCTACCCGCCATATTTTAATTACAACTTTGTATAAAACAGTGGCAACAGGTCTTATGCCCGTGATAAAATGACAACAAATATCATTAACAATTAAAGAGTTCCATAAACAAACTGAGGACACGATAAAATACTGCTTGTTTCTTTACCTCTGTTACCTGTAGGTGGCAACCATTGTGGCAACGCCAAAACGCTGTAAAACGAGAATAAAACCGTAAATAGCTTTAACGTGCAAAACTCCATTGTGCAACTTTTGCTTCCACTCCAACGATCTTTTCTGCTCTGCTGACCATCCCAGCCAGACCCGATTTTATAGCTGAGTGAGGCGTTTCCCAGAGGAAATGTAGGGGCGGAGATGTGTTGACTCATTTCTATATTGCAGCTAAACCAGATGCATGAATTTGTCACAGATATGAATCTGTGACAAATTCATTGACATCACAGAAGGGCGTTTTTACTTAGTATTTACGTAACTGATAAAGAAAATACATGAACAGCCTTTCTTCTTGTGTGTAACTATTGTTTACTATTAACAGATGTTGCGCAGTCATTTTAGGATTTGACGCAAATACAGTGCCTTGCGAAAGTATTCGGCCCCCTTGAACTTTGCGACCTTTTGCCACATTTCAGGCTTCAAACATAAAGATATAAAACTGTAATTTTTTTGTGAAGAATCAACAACAAGTGGGACACAATCATGAAGTGGAACAAAATTTATTGGATATTTCAAACTTTTTTAACAAATAAAAAACTGAAAAATTGGGCGTGCAAAATTATTCAGCCCCCTTAAGTTAATACTTTGTAGCGCCACGTTTTGCTGCGATTACAGCTGTAAGTCGCTTGGGGTATGTCTATCAGTTTTGCACATCGAGAGACTGAAATTTTTGCCCATTCCTCCTTGCAAAACAGCTCGAGCTCAGTGAGGTTGGATGGAGAGCGTTTGTGAACAGCAGTTTTCAGTTCTTTCCACAGATTCTTGATTGGATTCAGGTCTGGACTTTGACTTGGCCATTCTAACACCTGGATATGTTTATTTGTGAACCATTCCATTGTAGATTTTGCTTTATGTTTTGGATCATTGTCTTGTTGGAAGACAAATCTCCGTCCCAGTCTCAGGTCTTTTGCAGACTCCATCAGGTTTCCTTCCAGAATGGTCCTGTATTTGGCTCCATCCATCTTCCCATCAATTTTAACCATCTTCCCTGTCCCTGCTGAAGAAAAGCAGGCCCAAACCATGATGCTGCCACCACCATGTTTGACAGTGGGGATGGTGTGTTCAGGGTGATGAGCTGTGTTGCTTTTACGCCAAACATAACGTTTTGCATTGTTGCCAAAAAGTTCGATTTTGGTTTCATCTGACCAGAGCACCTTCTTCCACATGTTTGGTGTGTCTCCCAGGTGGCTTGTGGCAAACTTTAAACGACACTTTTTATGGATATCTTTAAGAAATGGCTTTCTTCTTGCCACTCTTCCATAAAGGCCAGATTTGTGCAGTATACGACTGATTGTTGTCCTATGGACAGAGTCTCCCACCTCAGCTGTAGATCTCTGCAGTTCATCCAGAGTGATCATGGGCCTCTTGGCTGCATCTCTGATCCGTCTTCTCCTTGTATGAGCTGAAAGTTTAGAGGGACGGCCAGGTCTTGGTAGATTTGCAGTGGTCTGATACTCCTTCCATTTCAATATTATTGCTTGCACAGTGCTCCTTGGGATGTTTAAAGCTTGGGAAATCTTTTTGTATCCAAATCCGGCTTTAAACTTCTCCACAACAGTATCTCGGACCTGCCTGGTGTGTTCCTTGTTCTTCATGATGCTCTCTGTGCTTTAAACGGACCTCTGAGACTATCACAGTGCAGGTGCATTTATATGGAGACTTGATTCCACACAGGTGGATTCTATTTATCATCATTAGTCATTTAGGTCAACATTGGATCATTCAGAGATCCTCACTGAACTTCTGGAGAGAGTTTGCTGCACTGAAAGTAAAAATTATAAATAATTTTGCACGCCCAATTTTTCAGTTTTTTATTTGTTAAAAACGTTTGAAATATCCAATAAATTTCGTTCCACTTCATGATTGTGTCCCACTTGTTGATTCTTCACAAAAAATTACAGTTTTATATCTTTATGTTTGAAGCCTGAAATGTGGCAAAAGGTCGCAAAGTTCAAGGGGGCCGAATACTTTCGCAAGGCACTGTAGCGGTGTCCTTGTATCAAATCATTATGATGATACAGGTGCATACGCTGAACAGTTAAAAAATGCCTTTTTAAAAGGCTACCTACCACAGATCAGCAATTTTGTTACAAAACACCAGGTATCTCATCATACTTGTTCATTAAATGACACTCTGCAGTATGCATGCCATGCAGAAGTGTATTTTAAGAAAAATCAAAAGAAGCCAACAAAAAAGAACATAGACAAACCACAAGTGTTTGTGTTAGCAAGAAATGAGGAAGAAGCTGCAGACTCGGATCGGAACACCATACATACAAAGAACAAGATGACTATTAAAGATGGTGAGGAAGGTGTGGAAGCACTCTAGTTGACTACTGTAGATGTTTTATTAGAATTAGAGGAATAGTCCACAGTCAATTTGGTAGTAGTTGGCAAAACGATAACAGTTTTATGTGACTCAGGCGCATGTAAATTGATAATTAGTGAAAATGGAATGTGGGACTGCAGACTGTCCACTGAGATTTTGACTGTAAGATCGGCAAATGGACCAACAAAAAAAGAACCTTCGGATGTCCTCTTTAGTTGTCACAAACCTTGAAACAGATCAGCAATGCACAAATAAATTTGTGTGTTCTAAAATTAGAGCCCCACCGTTGGCCGAAAAACAACAATTGGATACCAGGTTATGCAGACGAAACTGCACCCCTGGTGAAGTTTATTTAAGAACAAACGGGCCGGCCAATTGCTTTGTGTTCAACACAATTAGATGCTGTGGTGCGAGTATTACCTGTATGTGTACAGGCTGTTATAGCAGCTTGCTTAGCAGTACAGACCTTAGTGCATATAGTACTTTTTCATCCATTGACTCTAAAAGTATACCATGCTGTCTGTTATTTAGCTTCAAAATAAACTCTCTTATCTCTCACCATCTAGGCATTTATCATGCATGACTGTTCTATTATCTCAACCACATTTAACTATAGAACGGTGTACTACTCTGCATCCATCCACACTGTTACCAACAGCTGAGGATGGAGAAAAACATGATTGTCTAAGTGAAATATCTGAGAGGGTTGTGCCAAGATCTGATTTACAAGATATTCCTTATGAAGATGCCGACATAACTATGCTTGTTGATGGTTCATGTCAAAAGAATTTAGATGGTACCAATGCTATGGGTTATGCCATAGTGACTTTAACAGGGAAATTAAAATCTGGATTTTTACCACCTCATTATTCAGCTCAAGCAGCCAAATCGGTTGCTTTAACAGAGGCGTGTAAACTGGCAAAGGGAAAAATAGTAAACATTTATAGAGAGAGTCGATATACATTCTCTACCATACATGTTTTTGCACAGCTATGGAAAAATAGAGGCATGATAACTTCAACAGGGAAACCTATAAACCATAGAGATCTTATTCTTGCACTTTTAGATGCTGTGAAATTACCAAAAAACTTAGCTATTTGCAAGTGCACAGCACATACAACAGGAACTGATGCTGTCACATTTGGAAATGGACTAGTAGATGAGGATGTTATAAAAAATAAAAAAAAGAAGCTGTGAACGGGGCTGGACAACCACTGGCTTATAATTTGAAAAAATTTAGAAAAATCAACTGGACTAGGTTTTTAGGTCGAAGGCATTTCAAGAACTGATGAAGCCCCTTGGATGAGAGGTGAAACGTCTTCGACCTAAAAGCCTGATCTAGTTGATTTTTCTACTTTTTTCAGCTTACTATGACCTGGATGACTGAGAATCTGCATGGACACTGTCTTATAATTCTCAGGAATTAAATGCAGCGGTAGCAGGGCTGATGTGAAGGTGGCCTTCTGATAAGTAAACACATATGGTGACCTGATGATGACTTGAACCCCCGTGCCTGGAGGGGACAAACACTTGGCTGGCAGAACTAAACAAAAAAACTCAAGCAATAAAACTTTGTAACAGACTGTATAAATACTACTTGGAGGGATCACTCCTTTGAGCATTATTGACAAAGACTTCTTCAGTACTGATGTAGTGCTCCTTCTTGCCAGAATTATTAAAAGACACCTTGATAATTTTCAAAAGTCTCGGTTTTCCTTCGTCTCACCTTGTTAAAACAGTAAGGAACTGAAAATGTAGTGACTAATCGCATGTCAAACCCAACTGAAATAACAAGTGATGAAGTGCCTCTACTTTAGGAGAGTCAAACAGCTACTTTGACTGACTAATGATGATGCTGATGATGATACACAGGATAGGATCACTTTAAATTTTGTCCCCTATGGCGTCAAGGGACAGATATTCTTGTGAAACAATCTCACTTTCTGATCCACCGCTTCCTATACACCCATCTGACCTGTTCTGACCCCTCACACATACGCACACACTTTCACTCAAAGCGCTGACAGCTTGTGGTTTTGTCTTTCTCAATGTGATTGCAGCCAACTCCAACATTCTTCTAAGGAAACAGTTATGTCTTGCTCCACTAAACATTCAAGGTCCTCATTCCTTTACTTGAAAGATGCATTCCTATAAGTTTAAAAAAGCACTATAAAATATAGCATTTTGGTTTTGCATATTTGTGTAATTCTGTTCTAGCATAAGGATCTGAATCCAATCCAGTTATTACAGTAAAGTAAATGCTGTCTTTGTGTTGCTGGAAAACTGCCCTGCTGTTATGTTTAGGACAAAGATGTGGCCCAGTAAAATAAATATCACCACTGGAAAATATATGTTTTATCTGTTAATATATTTGTGTTAAATGGCAGGAACAGCACTTAATACTAACATCATTTAGCTGATTCTGATGTTGACAGGTGGGCCAGATAGAATTGCTAAAAAGACACATGAACTGTAACCTACAGCACAAATCTATAGCCAATTCTCTGTGAAGCAGCTTGAATTCTGTAAAAAAAACAAACGCACCATATGAACATCTCAAAAGAATGGTCGTTCATAACTGCTTCTCCAGCTGTGGAACACGTCCAGGTGCTTGAAATGAGTCACGGTACCAAGGTTTACTCTTTCATTCTTCACTCCATGCAGAAATGTTGTTCATGACTCAGAAAACCAGGCACTAGTGATATACACTCATAAAACACAATGCTGCTTGAATTTGGAGAGACAAAGCAAAAGCTGCTCTCACTGTTGAAGATGATTATGTAAAATTCAGTGACAAGATGACTGCAATACAGTTGTTACTCCAATATGAATTTATTGTTTTATTTAGCTTTAAAACAGCCTTTAGGCAGTTGTGTGTCCCACGCTTAGCAGCTTCATAGATGGTCGGTTTGCTAACCAAGCAGTAATGTCATTAGTATCAAAATTAGTATCGATTTCCTTACAAAGCCTTATTGCGCTGGCAATAGCTGTGGCTGGAGGCATTGTGTTTTCAGGTTGTCCATCCCTACATCCATCCATCCGTACACCTGTACGATTTTGAGTGCAATATGTCAGGGAAGGTCAAGGCCACTGACCTCATTTCTGTCCCATATTTGTGAATTTGACTGGTTGGCAGAGCCATACAGCCGTGAAGCTGTAATTCAGGTCTTAATGTGTCATAAATAGAAACTTTGGACAACCACAAATATTGGCATTTGAAATAGTTAAATGCAAAGATGCTGAGTAATCACACAATATTTGGCTCACAGCAGCACCAGAACAAAATCCCAGATACAGGTTTTTTTTATTATGTACTTATTTATTTATATAGAACATAACAGTGAATTTCATGCCACAAACTGACTAGCATTGGGATTGAGGCCAAACCCCTGTCAGTGTTTTATGAGCACGCAGCTTTGTTATATTGTGTCAGCCAAGCCTCGGTTATCAGTACAGGACTGATAATGCCTAGACTGGAAGTGGCATGCCATGCATACTGTCACTGCATTCATCATTATATATAAACAGCGTATTCTTCCAGCCTGCTTTCTATTTATTGATATTCATTGTCTTACTGATTATATAGACTTTCAGATGTGCATCACACAGCATGAAACCTCTGTATTTATATAATAATAACGTGTTTGCACTCATTTATATTTTGCTAGCCTTAGTTATGAGAGGGGAGGTAGAGGAGCAGGGCTTTGTCATTTGCTGTTAGAATCATGTAGATGTTAAAAAGCAGCTTAGACAGTGCATATTCACACAGAAACAAGCAAATATATGCACGTTTCTGCTCAACGTTCAGCAGAAAAATATAAACACAAGTTACACGCACAAACACACATAAACGTATCTCTCCCCTGTTGTGTTTGTGTTTTAGATCATCGACCAGGAGATTAATCCTCATGTGGAGCAGTGGGAAGCAGAAGGGACGTTTCCAGCTCATAAAATCTTCAAAATCTTAGGAACCGCTGGCATTCTAGGAGTCAGCAAACCAGTTGGTAAGAGTGTCAGATAACCTGTTGGTATACAAAAAACAAACAAAACAGTCATTTTTAGGACGAGTGATTTTGCTTTTTAAATCAGAGACAACTTGGTCTGGAAAGTAATGAGTTAATCAGTCTAGTGGGGCTTTGTGCATTATCTAGAGCAGAGGTATAGGGAAAAAGGCCTATTTGATTTAGAGACCCAAACGCCTGTTTTCTGTGAAAGGATCTAAGGAGATAATAGGCCTGCCAGGAAATGATAATAACCGTCGCATCAAGGTGCCAAAATCTGTGTAGGCTTTAGTTTGGTTGTCTGACAACCTTAATTTTAACAAAATGGCATGGTCAAAATTGAGTAAATTAGCATTGCAGCTTTATGTAGATGTCTGTGAGCAAAGTACTGAAAACCTACCTGCTTTTAATCATGTAGCATGCTTATATAGAATTCCAGTTAAGCCATACAAACATGACTGATTAATCATCTGTGCCTCAGTCTGCATGATGTACTACTGTTTCTGTTGCCATCGGAAAAACTCCCCAGATAAATCTGTAGTATGTCTGAGAATTGAAAAGGTCTTGGCACATAGCATAGATATTGCTTTGCTACCATTTATTAATCCAAGAATATGCATGAAAAAGAATAACTCTGACTCATAATTTAAGTTGTGATTGGAGTGTGCCTGAACTGAGGGATAGGTGGATCAGAATGTGTCCCACAGCAGAGGAGAAGATGAGGAATCCTTCACTGTCTCTGCATTTTTATTACATCTTGTTTTTCACAGCTGAATTCATATTCCATTCTTTTTTCCCTGGTTTGACAGCCACATGCTGTAGTTGGTCAAGTTTTGAAATGTTCCCACTGTGATGATAGGTGCTGGTGTCACAGCAATCTCCCACAACAGCTGTCTGCTGCAGTATAGCCCATTTCCAGATGTGCACCCAGCTGGGTCACTGCTAGGGTGGAGGAGGGAGCAGGATAAGTACAATAGAGCACCGCAATATACTTAAGAAGAGGTTTTACTGAGGTGTTTGACACTCAGTAACACGGGTCTAAAGTTTCTTGTATCGTGGTTACTCCCGCTGATTCGTTTATTATAAATAGTTTATCTCTTCTTGCCTTTGTCTTGTGTTGATGACATCAATGTGCTATTATTATTATTATCTGATAGTGGATGATGAAATGAGCAAATCTGTGAACAGCAGTACTGGATGGTGAGTGCTGTGAAGAAGTTTCCACTACAAGTCTGTAGGTCAAAGAAGAGGGAAGGTGAGAGAATTAAAATGTGCTGAGTGCACAAGCCTTTAGCATTAGTCAATAGGATTAGAGAGGAGGAGCAGCCCAGTGGAAGGCTGCATGAAGACGCACTGTATTATCAGCTCATAAATAACCTGCTGTTATATACAGCACAGGAAAAATACTGAAGAGATGGTCTTACACTTGTTTTACAAATATTAAGAGAGGGACATGTATATTCTGTAGATTAAAAACACGTTTCAATATGCAATTTAAATTGAGCAATATCTAAGTACAGTACTGTAAGTGCAGTAAAATTTAAAAGCCTAGTCTAACATTGTTCTACACATTTTAGATAAGATGTGAAAATATAGTTATTGTATCCAGATGTAAGTTTCCATATTGTAGATTTTGTCTTCTTCTCATTCTTGCTGCATCTAGCTCAATTTAGGACCAGCACTATTACTAGTACTACTGTAAGTCTTAATATACAATAAGCGTGCAGTTACAGTTAGTACAACTATAATCACTTTGCTGCAATGCTGACTAATGAAGCAGACTCTCAAAGAATTTGCACTGGGTTAATTGAATTAGAGGCTCAGATTATAGAAATGGGATGAGGGATTTAGGAGTTTGTTCAGTGAAGAAATGATTCATCAGGTGGGATGAGAGAAGCGTTCTCCCTTGATCACAAAAGATCTCAAGCCGAATACAATACAAAAACATGTCCTAAAAAGTAACAGCGAAACAGCTGCAAACATGGTGAGATTTTCTTCAGCTCACTGTACAAGTCAGTTCTAATACTATCAGATATACATACTATAGATATACATCCCCTTGTTTCAAGATACAAACATTGAGCTCTACACAAACATACAAGCCCCATTTCCAGAAAAGTTGGGACATTTTCCAAAATGCAATAAAACAAAATTCTGTGATTCGTTAATTACCTTGAACATTTATTTAATTGACAGATGTCCAAAGAAAAAGTTTTCAATATTTTCACTGACCAATTCAAATGCATTTTGTAAATATAACCAAATTTAGAATTTGATGCCTGCAACACACTCAAAAGAATTAGTGATGGAGACTAAAGAAGTACCTAACACAGTCCACCACTGCATCCAGAAATGCAATGTGAAAATTTGTTACCCAAGGAGGAAGCCATACATTAGTTCTGTGCAGAAAGGCCAGCGAGTTCTCAGGGCCCAAGCTCAACTCAGATGGACTGAAAGACAGTGGACACGTGTTCTGTGGTCAGGTGAGTCCACATTTCAGCTTGTTTTTGAGAAAAATGGACATCAGGTTCTCCACGCTAAAGATGAAAAAGACCATCCAGACTGTTGTCGGTGGAAGATGCAAAAGTCAGTATCTGTGATGGTATGGGGGTGCATCACTGCACACGGTGATTTGCATATTGTGAAAGGTGGGATTTTAAGGAGACACATGCTAACATCAAGGCAACATCTTTTCCTGGGAAGTCTGGATATTTCACCAGGATTATTCCAGGGCTCACTCTGCATGTGCTACTACAGCGTGGCTTTGTAGCCTGCCAGCATTCCATCTTTCTCCTACTGAAAATGTATGATTCATCATGGAGAGTAGGTTCAGACAGTGGTGCCCATGGAATCAGCAGCTGAATTACTGTAGTATTAGTAATTAGTATCCTCAGTTCCTAGACAAAGGTGTAATTAAAAGGAAAGGTGGTGTAACACAGTGGTAATCATGCCTCTGTCCCAACTCTCTTTATGTGTGTTGCAGGCATCAGTGCAAAATTTGTTGGTTGATCACACATTTTAGTCTTTAATGCATTTTGGAATGTTTTCTGGAAATGGGGTTTGTAAACTGCACAGGCAAGTGAAAAATAGATCATAGTTATAACTATGGATAGAAAAATAAATATCAAAAGTTCAGTTTAAGACCAAATAACCTGTAAAAGCAGATGCTAGTTTCTGTGATCATGACTCTCAGTTAACATAGACCAGACCAAAACAGGATTTTAAAAATATGATTTAGGCTTATTTTATTGCCATTTATTTATTTTATTTACTTATTTACTTGCTTACTTATTTATTAGGTGTGTTTTCAGGCATTTGCTATAATTATGCAGAGCTCCCCAGTGGGCAGTGATGATTTTAAATCTGGGAAAACAGGATAACAGAGCACTATCAGCGTAAATAGATTTAAGGTAGAGTTTAAACTTGAAATGGCCATACTGTATGTTTGAAACTGGCAACCTACATACAGAATGGCCCCTTATTTAGCCCATAGACAAGAAAGTCCTGCACTTATTTTCAACATTTTTCCATGTACAAGGAAAGTCATTATTATCTTTCAACACACAAGAACAGAAAGTTTCCTCAAAGCAGCCTCACTGAGGGAGAGACAGTGATGACCCCTGGCTCTCTGCCTGTTTTCCTGTGCTCTGACAACGAGGTATCTGGAGTTCACACCATGGCATTGGTCTTTTGTCCTGCCTGACAGGCAGAACCTGGCAGCCTGCACAATTTTCCCTTTAGCTGCATGTTTTTGATACTAATGTTTAGATGTTTAGCTTTGGGAGAGGTGTGTGTGTCCAGGCTGTTTCCTTTCTCACAGTTTCCTTCTGATGGCTGTTTTCATTGCTAACACAGGCACTCTTCTTGTTTTATATGAAATCACATTGTAATGGTGACACACATTTTTGGGTTGAATACTAATGTGGTTCCACTTATGCACACTGTAATATTTGTTACAGGCTTTCCATGGAAATCAAGTGTCATGTTGTAACAGTGATCTGCTTTATCATCAAGCCCTTCTTCTTGGTGTGCGTATTCAGTGCAGAAAGAATAGACTGCAATAGAAACCTATAGTATGTTTCCCTCTTCAACGTGGCTATGTCTCTTGTTGTTGCACCTTTAAATTCTATTCTTCATCTTACAATATTTGCTTCATATGGAGCTCCACCCGATGAGAACCTATGCTGTGGTTCATCTGCTGTTCAAAAGAAACATACTGTATGTGTGTAGGACTGACATTTGTGACAGATTTAGGTTTGTTTTAGTTCTGCCTGCTTGTTCAACCAGATGGCCTACTGTTCCGTTTACACTGGCATAAACCTCAGTTTGCCCTTTGTCCACATTATTCATCACAGGGTCTCCAAGTTATCTTGCACAGCTGCATCGGTTTCCTCTTCTTTGTAGGGGGGCGCTCTCCTACTCCCTTGTTTGCTTGTTCCACTGTATCTCAATCTTTCTGTGTCCCCATTTATTTAGCACTTTATTTCATTCCATTTCTTGTCTGACATCCTTCCATACTGTGCACTTCGATAACTAGTGTGACAGGTGATATGAAACCACTTTGCTAGAGTTGCACGCTTCCATGCAGTAAATTCACCCATAATTATTTACTGTCAGTCAGTGTTAGCGTCCATCATCCAGTGGCTGGCATACTGTACTTAGTCATGGGAAAACCAAGCACTGAGTATTTCACACACTCTCAGTCTTGTTACTGTTGGCTGACTGGATGTTACCAAGAGATTTGTCTTAAATGAATAACAGTCAGGTTACATTTGCTTCACCAGCATATGATGATGCTATCCAATATTTTGTTGTGCAGAGAGACCATTCATTTTTATATTGCTTCATTTTCATATTGTTTTGTTTTGACAGGATTTGAAAGTATGCTGTTACCACAAAGAACATGAGAGAAGTGCAATATGAAGGGAAGTACATGAGCACGCCAATGCCATGAGTGGCGGGTAGAAAATTGGCTGTTAGCATTAAGTGTATTAGTACAGAGACCAGGCTGTTCTCTTCACAATGGATGTTGCAACTGAAGATGAAAGGCAAAAGAAAGAACGATAAAAAGATGGCTCTTTATGGCAACTGCCAGAAAGTGGGGTTTTAAACATGGTTTATAATGGACTGTTCAACTCCATTAATGACCTAAGGTCTTAGTAAATGTCTCCCCTGCCAGAATGGGGGAAATAGACATCCATTTTTGACTTTTTCAGTAAATGTGTTGTTTAATAGATCAAAATCAAGTTTGATATGCTAAGTAGCAAAGATGAGATGACACTGAGATGACGGTGACCCTTATGTGCTGCATCCCAGCAGTGCTTTTTACACGTAATTTCAGAGAGCGCCATTAATGATAACATCCTGTAATTAATTTGAGTGGATGCTCTGGTGCCAGTGGAGCAGTTCAGCATGTACACCAGTGTGTATTTTGTGTATGTGTGAAAAAGCATGCTAGATGGTGATTTTGTCATAGAGATAACGGAAAGGATGGAAAGACAATGAAGGTGTGTGAATGTAGTGATAGAGTGTTTTTATTCAAAATGACTTGAACAGGTAAGTCATTGGTTTGTTCCCCTTTCAGATGAATCATAAAGATACATATCTATTATCAAATGTGCTTAAATAAGAACAAAAGTATTGTGTACACACGAACACATGATGTTGAACCACTGGCAGTAGTAGTGAAAGGACCATGCGTTTTGTCTTGTGCAGAGTATGGAGGCTTGGGACTTGACTTCAGTTACAGTGTAGCCGTCGCAGAGGAGCTGGGTAACATCCGCTGTGGAGGCATCCCCATGGCCATTGGTGTACAGAGTGACATGGCCACTCCAGCACTGGCCAGGTAAAATGCACAATGACAGAGCAATCTTGAATTCTGTGATATATCTGCTGATATTTGTCTTAGGTTAAATATTTAACATTAAATACATTTCACTATTCCAACAGTTTGTAAATGCACATTTAGCTTGTGTAACTAACTTTGTACATCCCCTACTGTCTGTATCACAACTAGTCAAGCAACAGTGTCTGCTTTGTGTTTAGTTTTTGTGTTTGTTTTGTTTTGTTTTTATGCCACCACTAGAGCCAGTTGTGCCAAAGCTGGAGTACATGATTTGGACGTGGACATGATTTGTGCCGAGATGATAAAAGGATGCTTGCACTGCTACACCTGGCAACACTGTGGCTTCATTTGTGCTGTAGATAATTACTATATATTGTGTTTGATTTGTGTCTTTTAACATTCAGCGAGTTGCATCGGTGCTTGCATTTCACTTGATGAGTTGAGACCGATATACTGGTTACAATGGCCACCACAGCATAAATGTACACATTTTTGGAAAAAATCACACAAGTGTGGAGAAAATGAAAGAACTGTTAGGAACATATCTGATGAAGGCAAAGGATTTTACAGTGGATCAGTGAGCTGATTTAAAAAAAGACTGCTCCACCATCTGCTCAGCCATGATGTGATTCCAACACAGTGGCTACAGAGAACTATAAACAACTGACAGTGTAGTGCACAGCTGCACAAACTAAGGATAAGCTCAGTCACTCAAATGTTTTTCTTGAACGTCGACCAACATGTATGCAGTTGCAGTATAAGGATATGTGTGACAAGTCAAATATTTCATTAAAATGTATACTTCAGAAGGAGATAACCACGCTCATATCACAATACTTAGGTCCAAAAACACACAAAACAGCTCAGGTCTTAATAAACAAACACTTAAGCTTTCAGGGGTCTATTTCAGTGGTTGTATTATTGTAAAATACAACCTGTTGTACAGACTTTTAACAAAGCTACACTCCCAAGAGGCATGTGTATTAATAAATTTGATAATTGTTTGTCTCACCCATGTCAGGCTTTGGCTTGTTATGTGGTGTCTTTCTGCTATGAACCAACTGCTGGTGACACAAGGCAGAATTGAGTGAAACAGACTGTTGGAGCTGGAGTCTCAGGGGCTTAATTAGGGGATCTACACTCGTCTGCAATGAGGTTTATTAAAAGTACTAAGAGAGCTGCAAAAAAGAGATACCATGGGACCCACCACCGACTCAAACACAAATTGCCTGAAATGTGCAGCATTTTTATAGAGAGGTTCCGCCTGTCTTGCCAGTCTTTACACAACTTTTATGAGACAATTAGCTGACAATCATGTTCATATTAGGCATCACTGATTTCCTAGCTTACAGGAAATCGATGAGGAATGCCCTTAGATGTTCCTTAGTATCATAAAAAAACTACAAATAAATAATTACTGTTTTTTTTTTTCCCCATGTATTCATGTATGTGTCTGAAGGTTTGGTTCGCCTGAGCTAAAGAAAGAGTTCCTCCTCCCCACCGTCTTGGGGGACAAAGTGGCCTGCCTCGGAGTTAGTGAAGTTGGAGCGGGGTCTGATGTCTCAAGTGCGTCTCTGCTTCATCATCTTCTAATCATTTATGATTGTGTAATTTCTTTTTTTTTTAGCCCCTGAAGGGTCGTTTTGAATTCAGTAATGCTGTAAAAATGATTGAGCCACCAAAAGACAGCAGTTTTACAAATTGGCACTGGTATTCTCTCAAAAGAGATGGATGGCATTTTGAAAGGAACATACTGTATGTAGGCCTGAGTTCACTGTTCACAGATTTAATCTTTTTTTATGTTTGACACCTAGGGTAAAACACCAGCCTTATCTTTGATGAAACTCTGCTCTGGTCTTTTGATTTAAGGGCCAGAATTGTATTTACTTGCTTATTCTTCCATTGAAGTGTTTCATTTAACCTTCTGTCCTCCCAGTCATCTCTGTCTGCCCCATCTATCTGCACACTCTGACTCAGGTATTATGACCAAGGCGGTGAGAAAAGGGGATGAATATGTGATCAATGGAGGTAAGATGTGGACCACCAATGGTACCCAGGCTGACTGGATGTGTCTCCTTGCCAACACCAGTGACGGCCCCCCACACAGGAACAAATCTCTCATCTGTCTGCCCATGAACCTGCCAGGTAGGGGTCATTTAGTTATTTGTGTTTTGTGGGATGACTTTCCAAAAAAAAGCTTTGTTTTCTGAAAATCACCTCTTGCAATTAGCCTGCCTGGCACAGACTTCATGATAAGTCTCAAATGTTAGGATTCTGTTTTTAGTTCTGATGAAAATACAGATGCATTATTTCCCTATGCATGCCACCCTACAATGCGCTTCTGCAGAATACCTAACTGTTTTTAAATAGTATATGTCAGTATTAGTGTGCTTATTTTGCTTGCTCTCCTGCCCACTGTAGGAGTACACGTCGCCCGCAAGATAAATAAAATGGGCATGTGGTCATCAGACACAGCTGAAATATTTTTTGATGATGTCCGTGTGCCCTGCAAGAACATCATCGGCCAGGAAGGCATGGGCTTCACCTATCAGATGCTTCAGTTCCAAGTAGAGAGGCTCTGGGGTGTGGCCAATGGTGAGTGAGCCTTCCTTAATGGCCTTCATCCCACTTTCAGCCTTATCCAGACATCAGATGACATAGTTTTCTTAAAGACACCCTCCACTCAAAAATGTTTTTTTTTTTATACCTATCTACCCTCCACTATACTGACTGGTGTAGGCGTATAGTTTGTCACTAACAGGTTGTTTTCACATTCTCTGCTGAATGTGGGTGGATGTCTGTTTCCCTGAAATCTGAGCTTCAAACATGGACAGAAAAACCAACAGTATGACACAAGTCTGAAATCACCAGTCATGGTTCACCATGCAAATATCTGCAGATTTTAGCAGTATGTGAGAAACTGGAATCCTCTGGCCTCAGAACAGCCAGAACTAAATTTTAGCAACCAGGAGTGGGAGTGAAATTATCTGTTGACAGCAAGTATGCCAGTTTTTGGACATAAACCAGACCCTGGAGTTTCTTTCTACTCTTTATTTATTTAATATTAGTTTATATACGCCATGTACTGTTGTTGGAGTATTGCTTCAGTTTGCTTCAGTGAGTGTAAATGGTTAGTCTAGTGTTAATCTAGCAGTTTTCTGTTTGGGATTAACTCAGAAAAAAGGAATATGCTGACATACTATCAAACTGTCCAGCTGGACTGTAAACACATTTGCTCATTTTGCTTAGATGTCTTTTATACTTTTAACACTACATATTAACAGTCTAAAACCAATCCAGCTATATTAGCCACCAGTTACAAAACTCACAACTGAAGTTGCACAAAAACACACTTAGCATTCCCCAGTTTTGATGCACAACAGACTCTTGATTAGAGTGTGGGTCTGAACAAGGTGCAGATGTATCCAGCTGAATCTCTCCATTAGTCCCTCCTGCCATCGTGGTACACAATGATTTCTACCTAGGGGGAGCGGCGGTGGTGGGCAGTGTGCAGTTCCTGGGCTCATTTGCATATATTTGAATATTAATGGTTCTTGGAATTCACAATGAAGAGCAAAGACCAGACATGTTTTCAGCCCCTTTTCAGAGGTGTATTGATCTTTATTGTGTGTTAGACTATGTATTTTTTCATAGCAGAGTATTTTTTCTATGCCTTAAAACATCTCTGGGCAGGATCATTAACTTTCTCACTTTATCCCTCTCTGTCAGACTCACCTCCATCTCCCCCACATCTCATTCACCCCTTACACATATTTCTGGGAAATGTACAGTTTGTGGTATTCCTGCAGTTTCAGTTTTAGTTTAAAAACAGTGGGGAGTACAGGTCATAGAGTTTCAGCCATTGATCTTCTATAAAACAGTTGTTTATTTCTGTGAATGAGTAACAAGCATGAGTCAGTATTTTCTTTGGTGGACTTTATGGGAAGCAGTTAAGTAGAAGTTCATCTTTACATGAATCTGGCACTGATGTGTCAGTTTGCCTGGCCTGGTAAACTGTTATACATCAAAATGTACAGTAAATCAGACACAAATGATGTGCATTCACATAAATAAATGGAACTTTTACTGCCACCAAAAGTTGTTGGTTTTTTTTTTTTTAAACCCAGAAACCACATAACAAACCAGATAACTTGCAGCACAGGTAGATGCGGTAGATCAGTGGTGTAGGCAGCCACCGAAGATATTCATTTTAACTCTGCATCACCTCTCTATCTCAAATCCTCTAGTGTTGACTGCGATGGACAACATCATTCAGGAGACCATCCAGTACACACAGCAGAGGAAGATCTTTAAGCAGCCTGTCCTCAACTACCAGGTGGTTCACTTCAGATTAGCAGAGCTGCAGACGGAGGTCGAACTGCTCCGCTCCCTTCTCTACCGTGCTACAGGTAGGGTCACACTATAGAAAGAAATGGTATATGGTAGTGCTGGTTACACTGGACTGAATCTGTGCCTCTCTCAGTATCTCCCATGTTTGGTTTGGAGCAAAGAGACACAATGGAGGATATTTACTAAACCGGTCACAAATTGCCGTCAGGCAAAGAAAATATTTCAGCACCACAATTTTTCACTTTAGCGGTATGCATGAGACCAAATGCACAAATTCCTGCGGTGCCACTTTTCTTCCGTTTCTCAAGCATAAAACCCTACTGCGACTCCTTAATAAACATGAACATATGAGCTGGGGATCAAACGGTCAACCCTACAGCCAACTCGCTCTACCAAACCCATGTTGTTTTTGTCTGTACTTGCATAACATCAAAACCCATGGACCTAGCCAGCTGATAAACTGGCACATACCCAGCTCATCCAACATACAAGCCAAATACTTTCCACTGCAGTGTTTATTATATAAATATGTGGGTGCACCTGGGAGGCAGGTGTCCAGGGTCTTGTGGTTTTCGCGTTCTGTTTCTAACCACTTCAGTGGCTAGCAGCTTTGAATGATTTCCATTCACTGGTAAAAGTTTGAGTCAGAATCGCTTGAAACAGATAAAAGCTTTTGCATCTGTTTTGGCACAGATAGATAAGCACACCCACAGACACTCAAGCAAACTTCCTTACACACTAAAAGAGGGGAAATCATGCAGCTTGCAAATCCCTCAGGAGGGTACTTACAATAGAGGCACTGATCAGTTGCACTGGGTAAAGGTTGGAATACGATAAACAAAATCAGAGCTAACCACCGGTGACTCTCAAACTGAATCCCATTTGTTTGTCACCTTTGTTCTCCTCCTCACTTTCTGTATATGTAATCTTTATACACTGGGTATTTTGTTCTCACTCTTCTCTGATTGCATCACTTCTGTCCTTACTCTTTTTCCTGCAGCAATGTACATTAAAGGCAATGATGTCACCAAGCTGGCATCCATGGCCAAATTAAAGGGGGGCCGCTTGGCCAGAGAACTGGCTGACAGCTGTCTCCAGTACTGGGGAGGGATGGGCTATACCAGTGAGGTGCTGGTCAGCAGATTTTACAGGTGAGACTGGGCAGAAGATTAGTAACACAACTGGTATACACCATGTCATTTGGTCTGGTTTTAAAACCATTTTTCCAGTTTCTACCCATCACTATATGAAGCGTAAACAGTAATGTATTAAATTTTCAGTTATTTTCACCCTTATGAACTTTATCTCATACCATAACTTTAACAATATCTGACTACATAAGGCCATAGCAGCAGCAGTTAATACAGGTGCTAGCAGACTGTTGTTATAGTTGGCTTTCAACTTTGGCACTTCAAGGGTGTAACATTAGTCTAGTAACAGCAGCCTCACCAGTTGGCAGGAGCTTGATTAAGCTTGTGGTCAGTGTTTTAAAAATAATTCCTTCATCACAAGGTTGGAATCAGACTTATTGTTGGTGTTTACAGAAACACTGCATATGAACTAATAATTTTTGAAGATAATGTGATTAGGCTTGGTCTTCTGTGGTTCTCTAAGCCTTTATTTGACACTGTGCTGACATCTAGGGGTAGGGCAAATAATGCAGCTGAGCAAGGGCTTCAGGATACAAATAGCTGCTTGGCAGTGAAAGAAAAAGATCATCATTGCAGGAGTTTTGTAAATAAATCACACCTGTGGTGATTGTGTCAAATACACCTACCCCATTTTGCATTAATTTTGTCCTTTCCGCAGGGATTCCCGGTTAATGTCGATTGGTGCAGGAGCTGATGAGGTTATGCTGGGAATCATCTGCAAGTACATGGACACACTACCCAAGAAGTGATGTCATTAAATTTTGACTGTGGGATTGATGCCATAACTGCTGATAATGTGCGAATCAATCATAGCTAGTTGCTTAGAAGAAAAAAATAGGTCACTTAACAGTAAGTGCAGTTCTGACATACTGTCAGAGTTGAAACAGGTTGTGGTTAAAACGAAGTGCTTAACTGCTCAAACACAAAATGACACTTTTGTTTTCATGACCTTATGACTTAAATCTAAATTTTTGTACTGAACATGCTCATTTAACAATAAACCCTATTTTTAGAATAGATTAAGCAAAATAATGTGCATAAATCACCTATGTAAAATAAATACATTTACAATTTTATTAAAATACCTGTTTAGTTTTGTTTTCAGCACAGTAGCACACGCTCACACTGGTCAGTTTTTGACCATAGAATTTGATTTACTGTACATTAAACATTTTTTTACAGTGAAGTTGAAACAACAATGAAGTACACTGCTACTCTTTGTAAGGATTCCAAATGCTGTAAAATATTCATTCACATCCATTAAAAGCAAATACTTTTACATTGTGTCACCTAGTATTCTACAACTTAATCACTTTTACAACTTAGGCGATATCCTCAGATTTGCCATTCCATATTTTGCCCACTACTGCGTTCAGTGTCTTGACACAGTCGTTTCTGCAGTTGTTACACATTTAATGTCATCTTCCAGGTAATTTGGGCTGATATCAAGTACATACAATCCTGGCATTGTGTACAGCACATGATGCCCGCTTCAAATGATAATCACCTCAGACCTTTTGCACTTTTCTAAAACAGTTTTACCTGTCAGGACTCCATCAAATATAATCAGTAGAAGCCCTTTTATAACTCTGGCATCACTATATGAAATGCTCGGACACCGGGGAGACAAAATCCTTGCCTTTTCCTCATTACATTGGTCTAGTTTTGAGATGCATCAACATGGCACAGAAGAATCAGAGTTAAAGAGCCAATTCCTAAAGGGGTCCTCCTATCACCTCAGCTTGATAAACCAGTACAGGATGAAGAAGACGAAAAAGCAGAAGAGCAGCATGTAGCACAGCAGTTTGGTCTGGCTGCCTCTGGACAGCTGCTTCACTCTGCCGATGGTGGCACCAAGCAGACCCCCTGTTGAATCAAAGTCTGTGTCCTGGTAGAAAAGAGGGATAAAGTCTTCAGTCCAGGCAGAGCAGCAAACAAACATAATGCTGAGATCATGGGAAATATTACAGCATCTGACAATGGTGAACTATAACTAAAAACTATACTTTAGGTATAACTGTGAGGCACTTGTACTTGAGTGCATTCTACTTCATACTGTTCACTACATTTCAAAAAGAAATATTGTATTTGGTACATTCATTTAACAGCTTTTGTAACCAGTTGTGTTACAGAGAAGTATTTATAAGATAGTGTACCCATTATACCCACATACCATTTATGCCCACTTTCAACTTAGAAATAGAATACAAAAAAAACAAACACTTGTTTGTGACTCATTTTGTCAAATCCAGGCATTACTTTTTGTCTTTTACTACAAGTCAATCCTATTTGGTATTTTTGAGGTAAACCTGTTCATATGTGAGCTCTCTCAGGAGACCTCACACCAAATCACAACAAAACTTTAACATTGAGGGTCCCCTCAGAAATGCCCATTTTCTGTGATTGAGTCATATTCACAAAAAGTATATTTGTATTACTTAACGAAACCAGGAGCCTACTACTTTATAGGGCCCTCAATACTTCAATTCCACCTGAAGCAGAGAGAAACATCATAAAACTTTTTGATATAGACCCAAACACTTTATTTTACCCCTGTAGAATTGTGAAGATTTTGAGTGGCTGTACGTCCTTTGCCAGACTCACCTAGAGGATACTGGCCCATTTTACCAAAGAAACCACAACGAAATCAAGACCTTCTACTAAAATCAACAGCAAGAAATGATTCCTAAGATGTTACTGAGTAAATCTGCTGCTGCAGTAAAATACATTTTATATTTTATTAATAAATCATGATGTGGGCTTATTTGGAACACACATGGGCTTAAATGATACCACAATACCATTTATGCCCACGCTTGACTGTTGACATTGTTTGTAAATTATTTAGATTGCTAAATAAACGAAAACACATTTTCAAGTGAGAGATTAACGTTGCACTTTACCTATTATTATCCTTATAAATCAGGTATGTATGAAAAATATCTAAAAGCTAATTTTGGTGGGCTTAATGGGTACATTTACCCCGTATGACCAGCTTTTGGAAAGTAGACTGATTAAAGTACCCAGCAGTTTTAAACCCATTTTGTTAAGAACAGTTACGTTATGTAAAATTTTAACAGGACTTTAACTTGTAAAGGAGCAGTGGATATTTACACAGTGGTATCATATTTTGTTACAATACGTCACCTAAAGAAAACAAAATAAAACTCACCATCTCATCCAGCATTTTGTTCTGGTATTTGACTTCCGTTCCAATATCAATAGACAGCTGTAAATAATAAATAAATTCCTGTATTTGAGTAAATTACAATAAACCGTTTACATGTAAAATCTAAAGATATCTAAAGCGCTATTTACACCAACTATGCCCATTTCTAGAGGACAACACAAATCACAGGAACTCTGATGTGCTGCTTTTAGTCACGAACAACCAAAACATCAAACTGTATATTTCACCATATTATTTACACTTTTTAAAGCGTTGACTTTAGCTCTGAGCCCCTCCTGAAGATGTTCATTTTCCTCTTCATAGACACTGTATCCACTTGCTACATAGTTCCCAGAGCCTCCTTCACCTTTAATGGACGAGAACGACAATTAATATACCGATAACTAGCTATTCTGATAGGATTTAGCCATGAAATATGATGTTTAAGATGAGAGAGTTTATACAATTTTGTGCCTAAAGTACACAAACACGAACATCTATTAGCAACAGCAGCTAACGTTGGCTAACTAGCAAACAAGCTAGCGTTTAAGTGTGAGCTAGATGTACATTTGTTTCTTACCCAAACCGGAGCGCCTCATCTTTACCCACTGAAGGAAACGCTGTGTGGCGGTGTATGGGATGTGTAAAAAAGCAAATCCAAATCAAATAAGCAATATATTACACTAATTGATAACAGTTTAACTGTGGCAAGTGTCCGCACATCTGCAAACGCCACGACATCATACGGTGGCCGACGAGGACAATGAGCTTCCTCTCAAAATATCGCGATTGCAAAAAAACTAGAGCAAAATGGAGTGTGTGTCTGTGTGAGTGCCATTGGGCTTGCATGTGTTTGCAGAGCGTGTATATCTTAATGGAAATGTATATTAGTTGTCAATTGCCGTAAAAATGAACCCTGTGACAATGCCACTAACAGCATAATCTAAAGAGACTACAGTAAACATCGCATAACCTTTTATGCCAATTAATGTGGTAATTACCATTACAGAAAATCCTTACTCTTATCTGTGGTTGTGTTATTAATGAGTTTTTATTATGTTTAATGTTACAGGAGCAATATCACAATTTGTCACAAGAGTCCAAACAAGATCACTTTTAATTTCTTGTTGATTTTCAGATGTAAAGCCAAAGTTAAAAGAAACACACCATGTTTATTTTCTGTTTTCTCAGTAGAGTAAATAATTGTGGTTACTGTTGCCAGGTGCTTGCTCAAGTATGGTGCCAGATTGTCCTTTATAGTGATTATTCATAAAGTTTTTATGAATTTGAAAGTGGGTGTCACTGAGTGTTAAGGGTTTTATAGAATGTCTAAAACCCTTTCACAACATTCCGAGGTAGAAAAACTGAGAAAATGTCACTCTGTATTGTATCTTCTATAAGAAGCCATGACCTTGACATGAGTGCCAAAAAACAGAGGGTATTGATCCAAGTATGTGTGTGTGCACATTTCAGTTACCTTTGTGGGTTGTAGAAATGTTTCTTTAACAGATGGGTCTCTAGAGCGAAAGAAGGCATATAGACATTTGGAACCTGGTCTTAATCTTCACCGAAATTCTCTGGATCCATAACACTCCTGATGCAATGATCACACACATACTTGAATGCATACACATGCACATACAGTATGCCAAAAACAGTCTACAGAGTGCTGTGTGTTGGCACAGTGGAGCAGTGGTTGGTACTGTTGCCTCACATCAGTAAGGTTCTGGAAGAATAGAACTGGCTTCCTCTGGGTGCTCCAGTTTCCTCCCATAGTCCAAAGACATGCAGGTCCATTTGAATGCTGATTCTAACTTGGTGTGAATGTGAATGGTTGTTTGACTTTGTGAATCCTCTAGTTGACTGGTGAGCTGTAGTGAATGGATGAATAGATAGACAGAGACAGGCTAGCTGTCTGGTTCCAGTCTTTATTCTTAGCTAAACTAACTAGCTGCAGGTCCAACTTTCTCATCTAACTCTCCAATTCCACTCTCTGTCTCCCAAAGTGTTGAAAGATTCCTTTAATTTGTATTATCAACTTTGGAAAAGAAAACGATAAACGCTTGCTGAAAGCGCTTATGCTTGTTGGAATTGTGCATTAGCTCTGCACATGAAGATACTAAAACAATCGTTGAGTAACCCACTTATGATGGATTAGGATAAAGGAGATACTCCCCAGTCAATAGAGCATGAATGCCTTTTGGCAAGACAGGAGGACCATGATTAGCTGAAAATGAAAGTTGCTCACCTCCCTCTGCACTGCACCTCTCATTGAATACTGCTGAAGCTTAACAATATCTGGCTCACCCTGATTAGCATAATTTCTCAAGAGAATGGAGCAATGAATGAGAATGAGTCAGATGATGGGGAACGTGTAGAGGAAAACATGCCAGAGGAAAGATCAAAAGGACACCATTGTACTTCCTGCTATTAGTCCTCAGAAGGATTTTGATTCCCACAAATTTACAATTGCTTTGAATTGCACTTAAAGAACTCTGCCTGCCCTTTATCCGCACTTCCAAAGTCTCTGACTTGTAAATTGTTATTGCAAGAAGATTTGCCGTCTGAATAGATGGGCTCTGTTGTTCAGAATGGACCAGTCCTTTCATTCATGACTAAATGGGTTTTAATTGGAGATGTGGAGGAGAATAAAAGTGTGAAATTTGGGTGAGGTGGAAGACAGAGTGAGAACAGATAATGTAAGAGTGGTGGGAAAATTAAAGACTGACACTTAGAAACTGCAGAGCCTCACTGTATAAATAAACAAATAAGACATTATGAAATAAATAATCATATAAATACATATGTTTATTCAAATTCAGTTAATTGTTGTTATCATAATTAATTCACAATTTCATTTTTATTTCACAAGTCTTTTTCCTTTTAGCCAACCACATGCATGTTTAGTCTTTCTCAGATGCTGACCCCCTATTTACACATACTGCATTTCACAGTGTGATATTAGTGTCAGAGTCAAATATAAAAACAAAGGCTCTGAGAAGAAGGTAAGCATGTGGGTTTGAGATATGGTGCCACGTCTTTAAAAAGAATCTATCCTAACTTGTGATTACTGTGTTTGATAGCAGCAGGATTTTCTGATTTTCCTAAAACCAGAAGGCTCATGACCGCTGGGACCCCAGTAATTATAAAGAAATCTACAGGAAACTACAGGAGTGAGGTGTGCCAACTGGCCCAGTGGTGTAAGGACAACAACCTCTCCCTCAATGTGGGGAAGACTAAAGAGATTGTTGTGGACAGGAGAAAACCTCTAAAGCATCCACCGCTCACCATCAACAGTGCTGTAGTGGAGAGAGTGAGCAGTATCAAGTTCCTGGGAGTGCACATCTCTGAGGACCTCTCCTGGACCAACAACACCACATCACTGGCCAAGAAAGCTCAATCACGCCTCTACTTCCACCGCAAACTGAGGAGAGCCAGTGCCCCACCCCCCATCATGTGCTCCTTCTACTATTGTTATTCATACATAAATAACCTTCCACTTCTATTCCATGGATTTGAACCCTGCACACGAATGAATGGTGCAGCCCATTTCTCTAAGTACAGGTGAACTACACCAGTTTCCACCAGGACTGTCTCAGTTTGCTTTAAACCAGAGACAGAGTCAGGCCAAACAGATGAAGAGCAGGTCTAAACAATGAAACCTTAATGTCAGTTTCAAGATAAATGCTTGAACGAAAACTCTGAAACGTTCACTGCTTCTCTCCTCAGCACCTGCTTTGTTATTTTATCCAGTGTTTAAGATACGAGTAGAAGCAGACTTTGGACGATCGTGAGAATAAAGAAACAGGACTCCAAGGGACACCAACGTCCTGGTGAAGCTGAATCATCTGACAATCTCCTATTATTGTTTTGCACTACTGTCACTGACTGTACACAGTTTTGAGTCACAGCTTATTGGCTGTACCGTTTAGAATTATCCTAATTATATTAATCCAGTTCTTATTCTATTCTATTCTTTTCTATTCTATTTTTATTCTACTTTATTCTGTTTTAGTTCCTAAATGTTATGGCACCCAATACTAGGTGAGAGAGAAACTGTATTTCAATTTTCTGTATGTCCTGCACATATAGTGAATTGACAATAAAATCCTTGAACCTTGAAATCTGTGTAATAACCACATTAGGCACAATGTGTTGAAGCATCAGAAATGGCAGATTGCTGAACTCACCAAATACAAACAGAAGCTTAAGAGGAAGCTGTCTCAAAACACAAAACAGAATGATGGCTCCCATTACATCAGCGAAAATAAAGAGAGACTGTCCTAAACCTTTCCTAATATACACCAACCTCCCCATTTCATCATTTCTTCTGGAGACATTTTCATTTAAATTATTGTATTCTGTTTCTCCACATCAGCTACTAACCATTCATGCAAGAAAAACACAACTGAAATTGAAAATTGTCACTGAGGGAGAGGGTGATGGAGGACCAGGGTAGAGGTGTTTCTTTCTCAGATTCATCTATTTAAAAGTGCACATTTCAGACATGTTTCATGCTGCAGAATTTCTCTGAATTGCTGATTTTTTTTCTCTCTTTCGAATTGAGTGCAGGAGTTGACACTGACACTGTCTGACTCTGAATTGCTGCATTGATTTGCTATAGCACTGTTAATCCCACTGGACCTTGGCTTTGTTTTCAGTCAGTTATGATGTACACAAGACCGACTTTCTCACAGATAACATTTCAATTAATGTTTTTCAAAGTGCCGCGATTGCTGTCTTCTTATCAGACACTTGAATAGAAGGTAACCTGACCCCCAGGACTTTACCGTTTATCTCTCTCCTCTGTCTCTTTCTTTCAGACATGCACACACAAAAAACACGCACCTACACTGTCTGGTTTCCAGCACTTCAGAGGTCATTACATTGACTTGTAATCATTACCTTGTACTTACCCTGGTCTTAAACAGAATCTTAAAAGCCCAACCTTACACCACTGTAAAATTCAACAGCTCACATTTTGGGGACATCCCTATAAGGACACGGAGTCTCCACAGTGTGATTTATGTTCGCACAACATCCACACACATACCTCTTATATTCAAGCCTTTTGTCTATATAATATCTACAATTAATCCACAGCACATATGTAATCAGTGTGCTGAATGACCGTTGACTGGGAGACTCATGAGTTGTCTGTCACATTCATATAGTTGTAGCTTCACTTTATTACCTTTACTGAAGTAACTATTAAGCTGATAAATCAGTTTACAGAAAATGAATCAAAAAGGACATTAAATAATCTTTCAAGCTAAAATTGACTGGTTCCAGTTTCCTAACAATGACATTTTTAAAATTAGTTTTATATGATAGTAAACTGAACATATTTGGGGTTTAAACATTAAACATTCTTATCTCCATTAGCCACTCAGATGCACTGTGATTCAATCAGTTTTATGACAAGAGACCATATAGAAACATTGTATGTGTCAGTGTTTCAATTTGATTAAATCTGACCTTTGCGCATCTCCCAAGTAATTTATATGGTTATGCAATTACCACTCATGAAAGGGCCAGGAACAGTCATTACCATGACAATAAAGGTCCAGTAAATGGACATAAGCCCATTTCAGACATGCACTGGAACCTTGAAATCCTCAAGACATACAGTAACCTGGGGAAGCTGTAAGTGAAAAGACAAATGTTCAGTTCTGCTGACCCTGACCTAAAGCAGACTTTAACCCTGCCAGCTCACTAGTACAAAATCCCTGTAAGGTCTGAGTGAGCAGGAGTGAGTTCATGTGTGAATATAGCAGCATGGGGGCGGCTGTGGCTCATGAGTTAGAGCGGGTCGTTTCCTAAGC